TGCAAGGCGTGTGCAGCATTCCACGCCCACAAAGCCCCTGAAAATGAAATTTAAAATTGGTGGGCTTAAGTTATCGGATATCACCTTTAGATTTTTGCTGTTTTACTATAAATCCATGTGGATATTTTGTTGAATCTATTGCACGTAGTAATGCCTGCGTAAACCAAATAAGGGGGAAGCGTAGTTTATTCATCGCCCTGCCGGTCTCCGAAGACAATTAACATAATATTTTATAAAAAAGGTCTATGTTTAATTCACATATAGTAGGGGTAAACAAAAACGTGCCCTTTTGCTTTTTCTACTGACAAACCTTTGCAGCAGAGTTTTCAATTCAAGTTTATACACCCTACGAAATCCTATGCTGTACAATAGTTTCTATCGCTCAGAAAAAAACCTTAAAGTTGATATTGGTTAGGAAGACGAGGGTGAGGTAAAATGGCAGTTTACTGACACTGTTATCAAAGGTGGTGGTGATGATACTTTTTGCGAACTTTTCTCATGGTGAGTGCCGCGCACACTTCCCAAATATACTAGATTTTCTATTTTACTGACAGACTTTAACAATACACCGACGCTCTGGTCCGAAAGTTTAACAGTGCGTATCTTTTGCCTAAATTTTCTACATATTCAGAGGTAGACAGTGAAATCGCTTTCCTAGCGTAGGGTATTCCGAAAGCAGACATGGACGAGAACATAAATCGACTTTCAAAAATTTTGTTCCAGGAACTGACAGTAAGAGTTCGACGGATCTGTTCCCCTGAAACTGTCAAAGCAGGATGCCACCAACAGCAGAACACGCCGCCCGAAAATGGATACCCAAATTATGCCATCCTCAGGAATCTTGACGAACGCACCAAAGATTCGGCTACCTTAACCGCACAAAAAAGTCTATCTTCTTCGGCGATGCAAGACGACATCTAACGACAACGATCACAAGCGCTTCCCCTCGGCGAACTTACACGTATTCTTCACGATATTTCTCATCTTATGCTTAAAAGGTAAAGACCGACTAACGTTGAAGACCACGTCAATGCGCATATACTATTTGCCTGCTCCTGTGGAGTACGAGACCTTTGCCTGGAAAGACGGCAAGTGAATCCCACTGGCCTTGCTAAATAAAAGTAAAAAGGATCGATTTCGAGTTCTATTCTCGCACGCCTTGTCGATACGAATCCCAGAGGCTACCTAACGAAGCCTCTCAGGTTGTGTACTGGAAACCAACCAGCTTTTCTAAGGGCCTCTGCCAACAGATGTCAGCAACAGCCAGGGCGGTAGCTATGCAGCTAGTGGATCCAGTATTGTGCTGTCAGAAGACGCTAATACAGGCGACCCCTCTTCCATGGCCGGCGTCGACGACAGGTGGCAATTGCATCTCGCTCCCACCCCCGGTAACAGATTTTTACTCTGTTCATGCGACAGTGATTTTCATGCCGCGTAGTCGACCCATCATGACTACTTCCACACTACTCTACTCACCCCCGTCAGTGCAATGACCCCTAAATGGGGATCTCGCCATTCAGGCGGTTTGAAAACGAAGGGTTTTAATTATATGTCATTTATCCACGCTGTATAGCCCTTTCGTTTTCATTATCAATGTAATTGTAAACTTAATTTGACCCAATTGTGAAAAAAACTCGGGGCATTCGGCGGGATTTGAACCCGCATAGCAAAGAAGGCCTTTACGCGAAGCCATTGCTTTCGCAGTTGGGCTACAACTCTCTTGTGGCGTTTGGTATAAAATCTTACCTTCCCAATTTAAACTACAACAATGGAAACGTTTTTGTGTTAACAAATGCTTCCGATTTCTGAATAACTTAAACTCATCCTGCTCTTACTTTTGAATTCAGAGTTTCCAAACAGCATAACGTTTATGTTCCTGTAAATGCTCATGGCCCTTCCATGAGCATTAACAAATCGCTTTATTTGAAATATTTTTTTATAACAAAAGACTGTCCTTCTCCGAGTGTGTAATTTTGAGATTATCAAATAAGTGTAGAAAAGCCACGTATCTACTACTGTTTTCTGCTTATGTCTCTAATGATGAATCCGCGACGGATCTCGAAACGTCAGGCGAATAAAATTATTGTCCCAGCGATCGAGTCGTCTTCTTTCTTCTTCTCGTCAAAGAGTATCTTTATGTCTTCTTTCTGTATCTTCAATTCGAATTGATAAGGACATCGAAAGTATAATAGACCGATTTTATTCTACTTAAGTAGTCTTTTTTTGATGGTGCAATTTTCGCATTTAGCCAGAAAGAAGCTCGTGCTAACGCCACCATCCTGACCTACGGAGATGTCTGCGGATTACCGCCTTATTTAAGTAACATTTTATTGTCAAAAATATTTCCAAATTTTGATTAATTTTTGATGATATAGTACATACAGGGGATTGGCAATCTCTTTTAATGTCGTGGTATCGACAAGAAAGTTCGTGCTGCGCGAACTCAGGGCACGAGGTGTCCTCCAAATGTCTACAGCAGTAAATGAAGTATTATTAGTAAAAAAGGACAGAGGTCGGTTGAACGATTACTATTTACTAACATAAATATAGTAACTTTTCTTTAAAAAATCTAAATTTAGATAATGGCTCTAGTACACGTCACTGATCTAATGTTAAATGTAAATGTATTTAAGAGAGGGGAACGCAAAGGATGGTTGATTAGTACGGAATAAGTACAAATATAAAATGTTAGTACTTTGTATAGTGCCCAGTAACATTTAAAATAGCATTAAGTCTGTCAGACATAGATATGGCCATGTTGTCTGTAGTGGTCTCTACAATGTGATTATTAAGCACAAAGTCGAGCTTTTCTTGCATGCAAAGGTTTGTCTTTGCCTTGTGCCAATTTATTTAATTTCAAAAACAATTTCTATGGGACTGAGCTCTGGGCTGTTGGCGGGAGTAAAATTTTATTGAAGGCCACACGCGGAGGGGCTGGTTGTTGTCTAAAAAGTTACATTACACTTGTACATGTTATCAAAGTTATACCATCTTGTGTACATTGAGGGAAATTTCCTTCCGTGACATTTCTTTGTAATTAACTTGAGAGTTCGCGTAAGGCAGGGTTCAGATCAGTCTTGAAATGCTGGTTGCCAAATTACTATTTTCAGTGTTTTTAGTCGATTGTCCACGAATAAAAGTACATTCTGCGTGCTTACCAAAACCTTAAAAATATGATATTTATTAAACGCGTTTACATAA